TGAACCAATCAGAAGACTTGATTTTGGTAAAAAAGTTTCTGAAACCCTTCCCCAATTCTCAAACTCTCACTCTCTCTCATTATTATATTTTTCATTTTCTTAAGTTGTGGGATACTCCTCTAAATACTAGGAATGATGATGCTCTTACAATCTATTTGGACTTTAAAACTCACTTGTGGAAACAAAAAAAAAACTTACTTGCATTCGCCACAAGAGATCACTGCAACCTTTAACACGAGGACGGTTTACCAAGAAACTCCGACGAGCTTCTTCCACGGCGGCTCGTTCCTCCGGTGTACCGGCTTTGGGATCAAACTCCCATATTTGACGTCCGACGAAATTATTGCTGCTGAACAAGTAAGGGTCTTCTCCATTTCCCTCTCCTATCTTCAACCTCCACATAACTATATATGATCCTATATGTATATACACGTATACTATATTTAAATTTCAAACAAATAGAATCGCATGATATATAGTGTATAGTGTGTTTACATGTGTACGGATATTAAAACTATATACTTATAACACTGTTTTGCATGCATACATATGTATAATGTTATATGCTTTAATAACATTATATATATGCATGTATATTGAAAGAGCCCTCATGTAACGAATAAGTAATAGAGAGCGAGAGTAAGAGAGAGCGTACTTTGTGCTGGGTCGATGTTTGCCTTCACGATGGATAATTAGATACTTTGGAATAGTTTCGTGTACGTATGTTTATATAGTGGTGAAGGACGAATTAAATAAAAACAATTTGGGGTCAATAATTAAAGCATTTATTAAGTGATTTTTAATTAGTACAGTAAATGTTTCTTGTACCCACGTTTATCTATTTTTGGAGTGAGACCCCAAAAAAAAAATTGTATATATATGGTTTACCAACAGAATTGAAGACAACGCATACTTAATTTGAAATTAAAATTACACTCTTCGACTTCAAGTAGGTTATACAATTGCAAGTTTAACATGGTTTTTTTGTTGGTTAGAGTGTTATTATATATTGATGCTATAAAAGAACATCGTGTTATTTATTTAATATCGTATATTATTTACTTTTTGGAGTAAATGTACTTGAAACCACATGCAAGACTTCGTTAGCTAAATCAATTAGATCTTTCTTATTGTCTACTAGCTAGTTCGTACGTAGATCCATAACATAATAGTATCAATTCTCAGACTCATAACTCAAGTTTAATAAATGGAATGGTCCACCTTCTGATGTTGATTTCAAGAGAGTGTAACGACCACTCAAATAAATGAATATCGTCGTTGGTTTTATTTTGTACAACTCATGAATATTTGAACAACTCATGATTATTCAGACTTTTTTCAGGATAAAACAGTTGTTCTTAATTTATGCATATTCCATGTTGACTCGATCTATGACTTTCTTCATTCACGTGCTATATATATAGATGATGTTATTGTGAGAGAACACATGGAAAAGGAGGA